CTGCTCGCCGCCGTTGAGCGCGCACGCACGCCGCCAGCTCTGCCGCTTGGCGCGCGGCACGCCACGCCTCCTTTGCTCGTGATCGGGCCTCACGCCATCGGCCGGTGGCTGGAGCGGTACCAGGCCCGTCTCTCCCCACCTCTCCCCACTTCTCCCCAGCTCTCCCCATTTCCTCCCCAGCTCTCCCCAACTCTCCCCATCTCTCCCCATCTCTCCCCATTGTGATGGCTCGAGCGGTCCCAGGCCCTGCTGCCGCCGGCCCGCCGGCTCCGCGTCGCCTTTGCCCACAACGAGGCTGTGAACAACCCGCGCTGCACGGAGCGGCACTGGCTGCTCCGCCAGTCTGGGCTCGGGCTCGCCTCCCTCCGCTCCGTGCGAGTGCTGCACTGCCCCGACGCGTGGGGTGTCGTCCTCGACGGCAAGGCGCCCACATCCCCCCATACAAATCTCCCCATCTCTCCCCATCTCTCCCCATCTCTCCCCACCTCTCCCCACCTCTCCCCATCTCTCCCCATCTCTCCCCATCTCTCCCCATCTCTCGCCATCTCTCCCCATCTCCCCCCACATCTCCACGGCAGGGCGCCCCTCCGGCCGTGCCTCCGGCCCTCGCCATGCGCCGCGGCTCTGCGCCCTCTGACACACGCGCCCGCCCGCCGCCAGGCGGGCTGGCGGCTCGTGTACTCTGGCGACACGAGGCCGTGCTCCGCGCTGGCTGCGGCCGGCGCGCGCGCCACGCTCCTCCCCTCCTGGACCTTTCCCGGACCTCTCCTGGAACCTTCCTGCAGGTGCGGGCGCCACCCTCCTCATCCACGAGGCCACCTTCAGCGCCGAGCAGTCCGCCATGGCGCTCCGCAAGCGGCACAGCTCCACCTCCGAGGCGCTCGGCGTCGCCGCCGCGATGGGCGCCTACCGCACCGTCCTGACGCACCTGTCTGCGCGGTACGAGAGCGAGGCGACGACCCTCCTCGCTAGGCGACACCGAACCCACACTGGGTTCGAGACTCTGGAGGTATGGTACCAGGCGTCGGCAGCGTGGGCAAGCAGCTCGTCCATCGTCGCCTACGACGGCCTCACCCTCAACCTGGCGGACCTGCCGCGGTGCACTGCCGCCGCGCCGCCCATCGAGCGCTTCTTCAAGGCCGTCGCCGCCCGAGAGGCGACGGCGGCCGCCGCGGAGAGCGCGAGGCTGGCGGCGAGGTCCGTCTCGATCGAGACGTCGCTCGAGGTGCAGAGGTGGCTCGAGGAGGTGGTGGCGACCGTGGTGAGGACAGCGGCGGGTGGGCCGGGCTGAGCAAGGCGAGCGGGCCGTCCCGTCCCCGCCTCCGCCGCCCTCTCCGCCGCTCGGGGGCTGCCGATACTCACTGCACGGTGCGAGCCGCGCTCTCGTCTCGCCCCCGCCACCTCTCGCCCCTCCCGCCGCCCTCTCCCTCGGCCCCGCCTCTCGCCCCGCCCGACCCCGCCCTCATCCTCCCCTCGCCTCCCCTCGCGCAGGAGGAGGAGAAGGAGCTGCTCGAGACGCTGCAGCGGTTCGCCTGCCATCAGGGCCAGGGCGGCGGCAGAGGCGGCGGGTGGACGCGCGCGGGCGGTCGGCGAGGCGGAGGTGGCTGGCGCGGGAGGGCCGGCGCGGGCCGCAGCGGAGGCGGAGGCGGAGGAGGGCGCGATGGAGGCGGAGCAGGAGCCGGAGCCCGAGGCGGCGGCGGAGGCGGGGTCGGAGGCGGCGGCGGCGGGGCAGCCGAGGCGGCCACTGAAGCATCGTCGCACCTCCGCTGCGCAGGGCGCGGCGCAGCTGGTGGCGGACGTCGAGGCGCTGGCGAGGGAGGGCGCCGACCGCGACTCGGCTGTGCGGAGCTGCGCCGCCACGCTCGACTGCAGCTTGCCCGCCCACCGCCCAGGGTGCGAGGTGCCGCTCCTCGGCCGCAGCCGCGCCAGCCGCGGCGCGCCTTCTCCGCCTCGGCGTCGGCGACGGGTGGGCAGCTGCAGCCGCCTCCTGGTGACCGTGGACGAGCCACGGTCCATTTTCTCCGCCCCTCCCTCCGCCGCCGACTCGCCGACGACTCCTGAAGGCAGGCATCAAATATTTCAAATGTCTAAGACGGAGAGCATCTTTGCTGGAAAATGTGTACCAGGGACACTGTGATGCGGGGCCGTGGAGGGGTCCGCCTCTCACACACCCTGAGTCGTAGCACCTTAGCTGTTTTTTCTATTTTCCGCGCGCGACGCAGCTTGCGCCCACAATGACATAACTCATGCACCTGATGACGGCCGCCGGCGCCTCGGCGCCGGCCGACGCCGTGTTCAGGTTCACGGCTGGCGAGGCAATGCAGACCGAGGACGACGACGAGGACGCCGACCGCTCCGAGGAGTATTCCGACGACGACGGGAGGGCGTCCGACTTGTAGCTGGCCTCACCCATATCTTACCCTCTGCCCCCCCCCTCCTGCTACCCCCCAGGCTAGATGGAGTAGTCACAGATAGCCCCACACAGCCCCTTACCCCGGGTACTACCCCTTCACCCTCGCCTCGCTGTGTTTCTGAACACGTAGACGACCACGCTGTGGGGGTTGTGTTATAGGAGTAGGAGTGGGGTGCAGGTTGCTCACCCACGGCACCGGGCCGGTGCTTGCACTTTGAATGCCGTGGGGCTCCTGCCCGTGTCCGGGCGTGGAGATGCGAGGGTCGCCCCCCCTTGCCCCACCACTTTGTGTGTGTGGAGACGTTTACCTTACCTTACCTTACCTTACATAACTCATAAGTCTTTATCGCTGCCCCAAAGTAAACGATAGCGGTCACGCCGTAGCTCGCGCATAGAAGCAGGAAGCTAGGCAGAGGCCGCATCGCGTTCGCTGTAACAAGTTTGATCCAAAACAAGAACAAGAACACAAGTTTGGCTCTAATATAGCGCGCGGATAAAGCGCGCGCGCCGCGCGAGACCACAACTTGCGACACGCGATGAGGTGGGAGGGGTAGTGCAGGGGCTAGGAGAGATGGAGGGCTCGCCCCCGAGGCACGGCGCGTGGGTAAGAGACGCCGAACTCCAGGAGGATCCGCTTACGCGCTTCCACTGGATCAGGGTCAAAACAGGTCAGAGTGATACCCTCCTCGTAGAGCGTTTGCGAGAGTTCGCACTTTCTCTTTTTCGTACCGCCGATGATGCTGTTGCCCCTGAAAAGAATTTTACAACAAAACTCCCTCGCACAACACTGGGCACGGGACTGAAAAGAATTTAAACGAAACAACTCTCGCTCACAGCAGACAGGCTCGACACCCTGAAAAGAAAGAAAGAAAAAGACAAGCCAAGGGAGGGATGGGAAAGACACGCCGGCGCCCCCACACAGGGATTTTAAGGAGAGGGGTGTGGTGCGCTAGCCGTCGCCCACCCTTGGGCGTCCGCCTCTTCCTATCTCTCTTCGCAGTCTCTCGAGCCCCTGAGTTTGTATCAGGGCGTTCGGAAATTCTTTTTTCGGGTCGCAGGAGAACGTGCGGTGTGGCTGGGCGGGGCGGGGGAGGGGGTGTCGTTCAGTCGTTGTGCCGACGCGAGTCACTCCTCGCTGTCACTCGACACTCGTAGTCGTACTCACGTAGTAACTAAGACTCAAAACAAACCACGCCCTCACATGCAACTGTAAACAAAACAATGTCGTCTCGCCCGCGGCGCCGGCGGCCGGCGGCGCCCCGACTACGGCGCTCTACGCGGCGCTCTCTTGGCTTCGCGCGCCGCTGCGGTCGGCCACAAAGAATGTGAAAAACGCACCTCAGCCCTGCGTGAGACCGCCCTTGAGCGCCGCCACCGTACCCTTGAGCTCCGCCACCTGGTCGAGCGCGTCGCCGAGCAGCCCCTTGGCCACGCCGAGGTGGCGCAGCTGCTCCACGCTGCCGCTCGCCCGCACCTCGGCGGCGTTGTCCGCCACGTAGCGGCGGCACTGCGCGAGGAGCCGCCCGTCGCCCGTCGCGTGCGCCGCCTCGAGCAGCGGCACGGCGCTCGCCGGCCCGACGCTCTCCTGCAGCGCCTGCGCGCAGAGCAGCTCGAGGCGCGGCACCTGGTACATCTGCGCCAGCTCCCGCAGGTCGAGCGCGCGCTGCGCTCTGCCGCCCTCCTCCTCGCCGAGGTCGAGCTGGTCGGTGAGGAGGTAGCGGACGAGGGCGGTGAAGGTGGCGAGGTCGGTTTTGCGCAACGTCACCTCGGCGGCGTCGCGCTCCTTCATGCCGATGCCAAACATGGTCCGAAAGACCACGGACCGCACGCAGATGACGGCCTTTGTGACGTGCTCGACGCGCTCCTCGTCGTCGCCGACCAGGAAGGTGACCATGCCCTGCGGGAGGGTCTCGTCGCCCCACAGCTTTCCGAGGTCTGCCGCGAGGGTCGAGGGCGGCACCACAATCGGCGCGAAGGTGGGAGGCGGAGGAGGCGCCGACACGCAGACATGGCGGAGGGAGGGCCCCGAGGAAACCAGAAGAGCGCTGCCATCGGCGCTGGTGGCGACGGCGATTGGGTTGCGGAAGTGCGCCGCGCCGCCCACGCCGTCCGCGCTACCGCGAGTGCCGCTACCCGCGAGAGTGGTCACCGCGCCCGTCGCCACCTCCACCCGGCGGATCTTGCGGTTGTGTGAGTCAGCCACAAACAGCGCGCTGCCGTCCGGGCTGACGGCGACGCCGTATGTGCCGTAGAACTGCGCCGCGCCGCCCACGCCGTCAGCACTGCCGCTAGTGCCACTGCCCGTAAGCGTGGTCACCGCGCCAGTCCCCACCTCGACCCGCCGGATCTTGTGGTTGCTGTAGTCCGCAACAAACAGAGCGCTGCCGTCCGGGCTGATGGCAAGGTCGCTTGGGTAGTGGAACTGCGCCGCGCCGCCCATGCCGTCAGCGCTGCCCACGGTGCCGCTGCCCGCCACCGTCGTCACAGCGCCCGTCGCCACCTCCACCCGCCGGATCTTGTGGTTGCCCGTGTCTGCCACAAACAGAGCGCTGCCGTCCGGGCTGATGACGACGCCGCGTGGGAAGTAGAACTGCGCCGCGCCGCCCACGCCGTCCGCGCTGCCGCTAGTGCCACTGCCCGCAAGCGTGGTCACCGTTCCAGTCGCAGCCTCCCCCTGCAGGATCTTGTTGCCGTCAAAGTCCGCCACAAACAGAGCGCTGCCGTCTGGGCTGAGGGTGATGCCGCGGAGGCCGGCGCCTTCCAGGGTTGCCACGCTGCGCACGCGCCCGGCCGTAGAGACGTGCAGCACCGCATTCTCAGTGGTGACGTACCAGGCGCCCGCGTGATCGCTCACGACGCCTTTCACGTCGCCTGCAGCCGGACGGCCGTCCTCGCCCTCGAGCGGCAGCGTCGTGACCTGGCCGGCGACGCGCGCGCCAAAGAGGGGCGCCTCGAAGCCATCCGCGACCGCCACAGCCCCGCCGTCCGATCCGCCGTCCTCGCCGGCGGTGCGGGCGCGCTTGCGGGCGGCGGACGCCATAGACACGCTGGGTTCACGTACTGTGCCGTACCGGGTGCCAATTCCTGAAGGGGAGCAGCAGCTCCTGACCACGGCGCCGCAGGCGCCTGTTGATAGGTCCAGGTGATAGCCCTGGATGGGCAATGCATACGCCTCACTGGGCCTCAGATCCCCCGACCGCGTCCCGGTGCTCTGTGGTCGGATTTGTGACGCCGCCGCACCGCGCCGCGGCCGGGGGCCCTCCGGAGGCCAAGGATGGCCGTGACGGACCGGGACGAGCTCTAGTAAAGATATATTCCTTTTTGTCCAGTGCGTACCATCCACCACGTTTGCACGCCGCGCCGCCGCAACGCTCGCCGTCGCTGCGCGCAAGACGTCCATCTATCAGACTATCTGCGCGTCGACGTGAACTCGCCAAAACTGTGAGGCAATGTAGCGCTCACCTCCGCCATGGCCGTCTCGAGCTTGGCGAGCGCAGCCACAGCATCCGGGGCGTTCGAGTTGTACAGGTTGACGCTTTCGCTTAGGTACGTATTGCCATCGTAAAGGTGGTACAGCTGGTCGTCGTCGAGATAGTAAGGGTAGTTCTCGGGGAGCTTGCCCTCGAAGAGGCGAAGGTACTGCCTGTGCTCTGGTGGAAGGCCCTGGTGGTCCACCGGGATGCCTTGGTCTGCGAGCGCCTGGATGAGGGGAGGGGAGGGGGGGGGGGGGGGGCAGGGAGGTGAGGACAATTCTAGCAGCATGTAGTACGGTCTTGGGGCAGTGGCAGGTGCTCGGCGGTCACCTGGACCTCGGGCGGGAAGCGCTTGGCCAAGTACTTCCAGCCGTCCCACGACACGACCGCGCGCGTGTAGAAAACCTCGAGCAGGATGTAACTCCGCCACCTCCACGGTTCCAGCTTACCCGCCGAGACAATAGGAAGGGAGTGTACTCAGGCAGTCAGGGACGGATGAGTCAGCACATACTAAGAGCACCTAAAGGAGCAAGGCATACAGCTGTGAAGTGGTCTCTCCACTGACAGGTACTAATAGCACTTGTGGGAGGGTCGGACGATGAAAAAGAAAGAAAGAAAGAAAACGGGCACGCCAAGGGAGGGATGGGATTGATTGATTGATGGGAAGGCGAAACACAGTCCGACCAACGACTGGGACACCAACGCGATGGGAGGACGATGAGAGCGCGTTCGCTTTCTCTTTCCTGCCCAGTGTTGTGCGAGGGAGTTTCTTGTAAAATTCTCTTTCCTGCTGTGCCATTTGTAGCGCCAGTCCGAGCCAGTCTGCTGTGAGAGGGCTTCCATGCGAGAATTCTCTTTCCCGATGTCGCAAAGGTGGCTGCTCTTTGTCGCCGCCGCTGCCTCCGCCCGCGCGTGTTCGACCTCGCCCGTTGCCTACTCCGAGGTCGAGGCTGCGGCGGCGCGGCTCGGGTGCCGGCTGTCGGCGCGCGTGACCGGCCCTGCCTACCGCCTCGAGCTCCTGTGGGAGGCGCGGCCCTGCCGCTGCATGCGCAACCGTGGCGATCCCCGGCCCGTCGCAGCCGATGCTTGCCCCGTGCCACTAGGGCCCCGGCGAAGAGGAGCCGAGCCTGCTCGGCTACAGCGATGGGTTCACGCTGCCGACTGGCGTGGCGCACCTCGAGAGCATCCAGGCGTGAGGCGGCGTCTCGCGGCGGCTCTCGTGGAGGCAGAGACGCCAACCGTGGCCGCCCCGCTGGCAGGTGCGCCGCTACTCTGGCTACTGGAGCCGCTCGCGCCTCAACCGCGACGGCCGCCGCTACGCCGCCGTGCCGAAGCTCGACCAGCACGGGCTTGGCTTGTTGCTGTCGGTCGGTGGGGCTCCGCCCTCCCTTCGCCCTCTCGCAGCCTCCCTGTGCTCAGTGGAAAGTGGCCCGTCGCCCTCTTTTCACGTCTCGCCCTCTTCACCCACTCGCCACCTCCCCGCCCCGCCACCTCCCCGCCCCGCCACCTCCCCGCCCCGCCTCCTCCGCTCGCAGGCGTGGCCTGCCTCCTCCTCGAGCGGTGCCCCTTCCGAAACACGTGCGCCCCTGTCGGAGCCCCCGCCGCCGCCTCCCTCCACCCCTCCGCCTCCGCTTCGACTGACCAAAGCCCGGCCCGCTTCCCTCCCCAGGCGCGCGCAGCTGCTCGCGATCTACGACGAGCCGCGCCAGCACGCCACCCTCGTCCGCTACTACCGCCGCCTCGGCTTCGCGGCCCTCCGAGAGGTTGGCGACGGCGCAGGCTCCTTCGGCGACCAGCTCGCTTGGGGCGGCGTCGGCACCCTCATGGAGACCGACGTCTCCGCCTTTCGCAGACGCTGGGGCGCCTCGGTGCGACGCCTCGGCCGCGCCGCGGACGGCGGCGAGGAGCAGCTCGGCGACGCGGGAGGAGGCGAGGAGGAGACGAGAGCTGCTCGGGTGTAGTGCGCCCATGGAGCGGACGGGGCGGTGTGCGCGCGGCGCAACAAGGGGTGCCGCGCGACGCAGGATGTGTGGAGATTGCTCACACAAAGGAGTCGGCCAAGCTATTTGCCGCTGTTTTGCTCTGTAGAGCTCTACGTACTTTAGCTCACTGGGGAGAAAAGAGAGAGGGGGGTTGTTCTCTAGGCCCCTAAAGGCCCTACGTTAGCAGTTGCTGATGCCGCTGGCGGAGACGGGCATGCGCGCGCACCACGTTCGGTATTCATCCAGTAGGTTGCGCTTGATGTCAGGGCGCATGGTTGACTGATCGTGCCTCTCGCCGATGTCATCTCTCAGATTGTAGAGCGCCACCCCACCCTCGCTGCCGCGGGCATAAACGGTGGAAAGCTTCCAATCGCCCCAGCGCACAGCAAAATGTCTCTTCGACTTCCAGAAGAGCAGGTCGTGCGGCCGTCGGCTCGTCGCCTCCCCTCTCACGAACGGCAGGAGGTTCGCGCCGCTGAGGTCCGTCCCGCTTGGAATGTCGGCGCCCGCGGCGGCCAAGAAAGTCGTGTAAAAATCGAAGCTCATCACCGGCTCTGTGTATACCTCACCGCGAGGGATCGTGCCCGGCCACCGCATGATGAAGGGCACGCGGATGCCGCCCTCTGCCAGCTGATTCTTGCCACCGGAAAGCGCCCCCTCGTCTGGAGCTAAGTGCCTCGCCGTCCTCGCAGGAGTCGCTTAGGCGGCTCCCGTGGTGTACCTGTGTTAGTGCCAGTGCGCGCCAGTCCCGTGCCCCGTGTCGTGCGAGGGAGTCCCTTTTCAAATTCTTTTTTCGCGAGTCGCTTAGGCGGCTCCGGTGGTGTGCCGGTGTGTGTGCCAGTCCGCGCCAGTCTGCCCCTTGTCGTGCCAGTGCCACGGAGGAATTCTTTTTCGCACCCGGCCCGAGAGCGATATGCCATGTCACGTTTATTTCTTAGCATCGAAGGCTAGCTTACATAAAAATCCGCGCCAGTCTGCCACTTGTCGTGCTGCGCCGAATTCTTTTTCGCACCCGGGCGCGGCCTTGGGTCGCAGCCGCAGCCATACTGACAACTCGGTGGCGTCGGATTCACGACCCAGCTCATCGCGAAGCATGGGGGAGCCCGCACCCATCTCCCTCGACACTCTCACTGAGCAGCAGCAGGAAGCGCTTGCGTCCGCGAGGCTCATCGCAAAGGAGGCCGGCTGGAAGCTGGACGAGTTTTCCGAGTGGACGCTGCTCCGCTTCCTCCTCAAGCACCGCTGGAAGCTGTCGGCCGCGGAGAAGCAGATCCGCAGCACCGCGGCGTGGCGAGCCGAGGTGGGCGCCGACGCCATCCGCGCCAGCATCGCCGCCGGGCTGCAGCCGAGGGACTGGCCAGCCATGGACCGGATCTGCCCGCACGTGCTGCTCGCCTTTACAAATCTTCCGACGGACGACGGCGATCGGCTCACCTACGTGGACGCCAACGACGTCTTCGAGGTGGATGCCTTCTTGAACTGCGCCACCGCGGCGGAGATCTTTGTGATTAATCTGTACGTCCTGGAGCACGCGAGCTACCACAACGACCGCCGCTCGGCCGCCACCGGCCGCCTCTGCCGCTGGTCGACGCACTTTGACGCGCGCGGCATCGGGATGCGGCATATCAGCGTGAGGGTGGCGTGGAAGTTCAGGCCCTGCCTCCCGCTCGCGGACAACTTCTACCCCTCCCTCTTTGGCTTCATGCTCACCGTGAACGCCGCCAAGGCGATGGCCGTCTTCTGGAGCCTCGTCTCGCCCTTTGTGGGAGAGAACGCGAAGCAAGTTGCCATCCTCGACACCGAGTCGAGTCCGGGCGCCCTCCTCTCCCGCGCACCCGCCTCGTCGGTGCCCACTTGCTACGGCGGCTCGCTCCGCCGCCTTCCCGTCGACGAGGTGTCTCGCCTCCCCGCGCCGCCAGAGCGGTTCGACTACGGCGCCGCCTACCCAAACGAGCTCGGGAGGTGGCTCGCGTCCGGACTGCCGGCTGCAGCCTTGCCAGACCCAGCGAGAGGGGGCGGGGACGAGGTCGGAGAGACGGGCATCTCCAGGTAAGCGCCGTCCCGGCGCTCTGGAGGTGGGGCGGTGGCGCTCTTGGGAGAGTGGCGCCGCGCGCTCTTGCGAATAGCGCTGCTGGAATAATGGTTGGAGTACTTGAGGTTGAAAAAAGAACCCAGCACGGCGGCTACGCGCGTAGATCTCGACGTCCCTGAGAGAGGCAGCACACCGAAAGACCAAGAAGCGCGAGGCATAGCCACTCGAAGCGACTGACGTCTCGATCCCAGTGTCTTGGAAGATGGAGAGCCGGAAAATCGGTCTTTTGATCGCGCTCGTGGGCATGCTTGGTGCAACGCCCGACGCGATGCTGCTCCGATTGGAGAACGACGAGGGCGCCCTTTCGAGCACGATCCTCATCTGGCGGTACCTCCTGGTCGGAGCCATTCAGTTTGCGATCGCGAGCTCTATGTCCGGCGTGCGCGGCCTCCTTCGGGCCAGCACTTTAGCGCCAAAGTGCAACTTCGCCGCCGCGCTCCTCGTTACGGCCTCCAACCTCGGCTTCGTCTTCTCGCTTCTCTGGGTCATCCCTCACCGCACGTACAGACACACACACACACACACACACACACACACACACACACACACACACACACACACACACACACACACACACACACACACACACACACACACACACACACACACACACACACACACACGCACGCACACAGTGCCGCCCCTCGCGTGACCTGTGAGCGGCCCCAGCCATGCTGGTCGCGGCAGGTGGACCCGGCCAAGTCGCTCCTCCTCATCAGCCTCAACTCGCTCTGGGCGGCGCTCCTCGGCTACGCCGTCTGCGGCGACGAGCTGCCCGCCCGCACGGCGCTCGCGCAGGGGGGCGCTCTAATCTCGCTGGCGGTGGTCTTCGTGCCTGACTGCTACGAGCTCACGCCCGACGCGCTCGACCTCATCCCGCTCGCCACGGGCATCGCCATGGCGGCCTACCTCACGCTCGCGCGCTTCGTGGCGCTCCGCCTCCCCCGCTCCTCGCTCGAGCTCTCCCCCGCCCTCGGCCCTCTCGCCGGCCTCGTCTCTCGTCCCTCGCCTCCTAGGAGCCTTCTAGGAGCCTTCTAGGAGCCGTCTCCTATAGGCTCGCTCGCCTCGATCGGCTTCGCCGTGGCGATGCAGCGGATGCAGCCCAGCGGCCATGCCAGCGGCTCGCGCCTCACGCCCCGCTTCTTCCTCTTCCTGAGCCTGAACGCTGCCGGGATCGCTCTCTACAACACCGCCCTGGTCCTCTGCCCTCGCTTCATCACCGGCGCAGAGTGCGCCCTCGCCCTCGATCTTCTCGTAGGAGCCTTCTCGGAACTTTCTAGGAACCTTCTCCTAGGCGCAGAGTGCGCCCTCGTCCTTCTCGGGGAGACTGTACTCGGCCCGGTGTGGGTGCGACAAGTTCCACGCACATACGGCTGCCCCCTCTCATCGCGCCTTCACCCGCCCTTCCGCCTCTCCCACCCACACGCGCACTGGGCCTTGATGGCCGTGTGCCAGCTCCTGCCCGTGTCCGGGGGTGGAGATGCGCAGGGTCTAAGCCTGGCCCTTGCCCCACCACTTCGTGTGTGTGGAACAGTTTACCTCGCCCTACCACCTACCCCACCCCCTACCCCACCCCCTCTCGTGTGTGTGGAGAGGTTTACCTCACCCTACCTCTACCTCACCCTCCGCAGGTCTTCTTTGCCTTTGGCGACGCGCCCGACCCCTTCACCGTGTACGGAGGCGCCCTCCTCCTCCTCACGCTGCTCGTGCACGAGGCGGAGGGGCACTTCCCTCGCTCGCTCTCCCTCCCTCCACTCCCTCCCTCCCTCCCTCCCTCCCTCCCTTCCCTCCCTCCCTCCACTCTCTCTTGATCTCGTGGAGCAGCAGCATCGGGAGCACACATGTCATCTCACGCCCGTTCTCCCTCTCTCGCGCCAAAAGTGTGGCGGGCATGCGCGCGGCCGCTCTGGCCCCCGACGGCCCCGCCGGCAGCGACAGCGTCGACCCACCTCGGGCAGCCTCTTCGAGCGGTCGCCCCACGCAAGGCCGCACGTCTCCCCGCCGATCAGCCGCGGAGGCACGCTCTACCTCTCGCCCCGCGCCGAGCCGGCCTCGGCCCTCCTCCTCCCCGCCTCGCTCGGCCAGCCGCTGCTGCCCGACGGAGCGCTATCGGGAGGCGGCGTGCCGCTCCGGCGGCCAGAGGGCGGGGGAGGGTAGCAGCGAGAGCGACCCGGTGGAGATAGAACGGAACCGGGCCGGAGAGCAGAGACTGGTCCGGAACACTATAGTAGATAAACAAGCGAAGTTTCGTGTCGCCGTCTAATTTCACACGCACCTTACACACGTCGTGAGACGCGGGGGGCTGTACTCTACGACCCACTCACACCCCTCCACGCTCCACCCCACGAGAGGGCTTCTGTGTACCTTGGTGCGCTTTGAGTCACGCGTTCCACGACGGGCACGAGCTCAACTCTGACTCGTGGATGTAGCAGATCCCGCCGTTGCAGCGGAAGCCGGCGCCCTCGCGGTGCCACCCAAAGCCCGCCTCACAGAGACCGAGATCGCGGAGGTGCTGGCGCAGCGCCGAATCCTTCTGGAAGAGCTCCTGCTCATTCTGGCAGACCGCCGCCTGCGTGGCCTTGAGCACCGTCGCCACCTGCGGCTTGAGCACTCGGATCACTGTCGCCTGGCTGGCGCCCGTCTTATCCACCACCCAGCCAAGCAGGTCATCAGCAAACGGCCCGCCCTGCTGCACACCAGACAGCATCGTGACCAGCTCGCGCCGCCGCGCCTGAGACTCGTCGTACCCAAGCGAGACGCACGCCTCCTGCAGCGCCGCCGTGATCCGCTCGTCGTCGCTTCCGCTATCGCTCTCGCTGCCGTTGTCGCCCCCGGCCACACGCGTCTTCTCCCGCTGCTTGGTGCGCTCCACCGGAGGCCCCGCCCCTGCACCGCCACCGCCACCGCCGCCGCCACCGCCGCCACCGCCGCCGCCGCCGCCACCGCCACCGCCGCCACCACCGCCGCCGCCACCGCCACCGCCACCGCCCCCTCCACGGCTGGCGGACGGCGGCCTGGTCGCCCGTCGGGTCGGTGGAAGCGGTGGAGGCGGCGGTCGCTCAGACCGGCCGCGTGCGAGCGCCTCGAGCGCCGCGTCTGCGTCAGCGCCGACAAAGGCGGGCGTGTCCTCCTCGCCCGCCCCACCGAGGCGTACCGCGCGGGCAGAGAAAAGCTCGTCGTAAAGGGACTCTGCGTCACGCGCGTTCGCCCAGCCCGCAAAGCCGCGCAGCGCCTCGAGCGCGGCGCCGACGGCGCCGCCATCGCGAAGCTCGATCCCCTCGGCGCTGCAGCGCCGCCGCAGGTACGCCTCGACGTCGGCGGCGTCCCAGTCTGGAAACTGGAGGCGCTGCTTGAAGCGGGAGGCGAAGCCCGGGTTCGCGACAGCTAGCATGCGCTGCATCTCTGCCGGGTAGCCAGCCAGCGCGACGATGGTACGGCCGCGGTGCGCATCGGTCGAGAGGAGGTACGTGAGCTGGTCGACCGCCTCGCGCGAAAAGTAGCCCTGGCCGAGCGAGTAGGCCTCGTCAATGAAGATGAAGCCGCCCGGAGCCGACGCGAACAGCTCATTGACCTTTGTCTTGGTCTGGCCGACATAGTCGCCCTGCAGGTTAAGTGCCGACTCGCAAGCAAAGGCGTCCGACGTGAGGACGCCGATTCGAAAGAGCTCGGAGGCCAGCAGCCGCGCCACCGTCGATTTGCCCGTCCCCGACGCGCCCGTAAAGATGTAGTTGCCAACGTGCATCGCGGGCGCGTCGGGGGCGAGCTTGCCGTCGGCGCGAAGCCGCGCCGTGACCGCCTCAATCGCGTCGAGGTGCGACAGCACGTGCTCGCACTTGTGCATCGAGGCGAGCCGCTCACGTGCGCCGCACCCCTTGTCGGCGCTCGCGGTGCCGAGCACGTCGCCAATCGTAAGCTCGCCATTGGCCGCGGCCGCCTCGCCGCGCGCGGCCAGCGCCGTCTTGGCGCGGCCGAGTAGCGAGTTGACCGCGCCGGCGTTGCCAAAGTTGGGCTGCACGCGCTCGCGAGAGAGGCTCGCGAGAGCCGCCTTGCGCACGGCGCGGGGCAGGCGGAGCCCGTCGCGCGCGGCTGCGCGGTGGAGGAGGAGCTCGAGCTGGGCGTCAGTAAAGTCGGCGAAGCGGAAGGCCGCCTCGAGGCTGAAGCGGCGCTGCAGCCCCGGGTTGGCGTCGCGGAGCATCCGTTTCATCTGCGGCTCGTACCCGAGCAGCAGCACCGCGACGTCCTCTCCGGGCTCGTTGTGCACCAAGGAGACGAGCGTGTTGATGGCGGCCTCCCCGTACGACGAGCCGTGCAGACAGTACGCCTCGTCGATCACTAGCACCTACAGGGGTACGAGCCGTGCCGCGATGGCGAGCCGTGCAGCGAAATGCTGACCAGCAGCTCTCTCTCTCTCTCTCTCTCTCTCTCTCTCTCTCTGTGTGTGTGTGTGTGTGTGTGTGTGTGTTTGTGTGTGTGTGTGTGTGTGTGTGTTTGTGTGTGCGTGTGTTGGTGTGTTTGTTGTGTGTGTGTGTGTTTGTGTGTTTGTTGTGTGTGCGTGCGTGTGTGTGTGTGTGTGTGTGCGTGCGTGTGTGTGTGTGTGTGTGTGTGTGTGCTGTGTTGTGTGTGTGTGTGTGTGTACCTTCCCCCTCGCCGCCTCGAGCAGCCGCGTCGTCTTCTCCTCGCTCTCGCCCACCGCAGAGCCGAGCAAGTCCGACGCCACCGCCAGAACCACACCCCCGTCACTCAGGTGCCCCGTGCCTTTGAGCACGCGGCCGTAGATTTTCGCCACCGTCGTCTTGCCCGTCCCAGGATTGCCGAGGAAGAGACGGTTGAGCGGGACGCGCAGGGGGTGTGCGCCGCGCAGCTCTCGCTTGTGGTTCGCCTCCGCGAGTCGCACGAGAGCGGCGGTCGCCTCCTTCACCTCTCGCAGCCCCACCTTCTCCTCGAGCTCGCGCAGAGCCACGCCTAGGGGAGATCTGGGGAGATCTGGGGAGGTATGGGGAGATATGCAGCCAGAGCTCGCGCCGAGCCACGCCGAGCGACGGAACGTGCTCCGGCGTCGGCGGCGGCCCGATGACGTCCAGGATCGTCAGCGTGGTCGATCGACCGCCACCACGCTCGAGAGCGCGGGAGTAGGCGGCCTCGTACACCTTGCGCACCTCCCTCGCGTTGCCGAAGCCCTTGGTGCCTCGGCCGCGCGCCGCGCGCCTCGCCGCCACCTCCGCGACCGCCGGCTCGAGAGTCCACATCCGAGTTGAGACTGAGTCGACGAAGATGTCGCGGAGGTCCGCCTGTTCACAGCGGGAGGTGTGAAGCGACGCTGTTCACAGCTGGACGATGATGTCGCGGTAGTCCGCCTCGCTGAAGTCCTCGAACTCAACCTCCTTGAACCGCGAGCGGAGCGCGGGGGCGTGCGCATAGAGCTTGCTCTCGATCTCCTCCTTGGTGCCCGTGAGGAGGATGGAGAGGCTCTCGCGCGAGCGCTCAGCGTGATCGGCCAGCAGCGAGAGCACGGCGCGGCCTTCGGCGGACTTTTTGGGCTCAATCGCGGCCGCGTCGTCAACCAGCAGCACCGACGCCTCCTCGAGCCGCGTCGATGCCTCGTCGACGCCGTCACGCGCCAGCGCCTCGCCCGTCGTCTCATCGATGTCGTCTGCACAGCCCTCGCGCAGCCCCAGCTCGCAAAGCAGGCCGGCGAGGAGTCGTGCGACCTGCGCGCGCACAAAGAGGGGCGGTGGGGGCGAGGGGTGGAGAGTGGAGGTGAGGGGTGGTGGTGAGTGGAGGCGAGTGGTGGCGGCGGGGCGGGGGTGGGTGGGTTCGCGACCGTCGTCTTGCCGGTGCCGGGGTTGCCCAACAGCGCAAAGTTCAAAGAAGTCTTTTCACGTTGCTGCTCGAGCAAGCGCTCCTCCGCAAGCATGCGCGTTGCGAGGCCGACGGCGAGCGCCTTGACCGCCTTCTGGCCGCGCAGCTTGAGAATTGCGTCGAGCGAGGGGTAGCTCTTACCCTCGGCGTCGCGGTTGGCGCGCCACTGCTCCTCCGGGCTCTGCTCGCGAGGCGGGCCGGCCGCAGGACCGGGCTTGGTCGGCGTGCCCAGCCAGGGTTGTGCCGAGAGGGTGCGCTGCGCCCCGTCCTCAGCTAGCATGGACGCCTCGACTTGTGTGATCATCTTGGCGAGCGACGGCTCCGCGGCCGTCGCGAGCGCGAGGCACGAGAGCGCCGCCTTGGACGGCTCCGCGGCCGAGGCGAGGCGGGCAAGTGTGAGTAGCGCGACTGGGTGGCTGCGGCAGGCCGGCTCACCCAGCGCCCTCTCAGCCTCGCCCACGTCGGGCCCGCCAGGCAAGCTGGCACAGGCGAGCGCGAAGAGCGGGCGTGCAAAGGGCCAGTCGCCGCTCTGCTCGAAGGCGGTCGCCGCGTCGTCCCAACTGCCCGCCGCGAGCGCAGCGAGGCCAGCGCTCGCCCAACGCTTCTCGGCCGGTGCGATCGGAAGCAGCTCGAGGGGCGCCCGCAAGTCGTCAAAGAGGGCGCAGAAGCCGGCGTCATCCATCTGCAGCCGCGTCGCCGCCTCCTCGCGCGCCTCGAGCTCGCGTCGCGCGCGCACGAGCACCGAGGCTGCCGCCGCGATGGCAGTGTGGTCGTGCGGCAGCCCCATCTCGACCGCGTGCAAGAGGGAGAGCTGAAGGGCAGCGGCGCGCTCCGCCGTCTGAGTGTACTTGGCGTCGAGCGGGCCGACGCAGGGCAGCGCCTCGCCTTCGAGCTGGATCACCGCCGCCCGTCGGTTGCGCGCGTGAGCAGACACTGTGGCGGCGCCGAGGCACGCGCGAAGCCTGAGCCGCAGCAGAGCGCGGGCGGAGAGCCGGCGCCGGGCGTACCGTTGCAGTAGGCGGGCCCCGAGTCGGGAGACTAGCTGGGCGCGCGCCACCCGTTGCCGCGCCTTGCACTGCATCCTCAGCGCGGCTGCGGACGCGTTGCCGACGAGGAGCTCGTAGATCGCCCTCGCAGCCTGCTCGCACCGGGCAACCTCGATGAACGGGGAGATTCGCTCTCGCTCGCCATCCGCCGCGCGAACCGCCAGGAGCCGCCGCCACCCACTCTGCAGAGCGACCACTGCACGCATCTGATGTCTTGCTGCGCGAGCGGCCGCGGCACGCGCCGCCGCAGCCACGAGAGTCGCGCAATGGCGATGGTGGGCGCTGTAGCCGGCGGGCGGCAAGTACGTGTCGCACCCAACCTCACGCGCCAGGCCCTTTGCGAAGGGGCCTCCCAGCAACGAGGGCACCGCCTGCAGCGCCTCGGCCAAGGCAAGCGTGCTGCTGAATTGGAGCGTGATCACCTGCCGCGTCCAGTCCGCTGCATCGAACGCCCCGCCGAGCGACGGCCAGTCGACGCCGAAGAAGTCACCGGGGCTGCGATTCGGAGGGACCGGCAGACTGCGCACGAGGCCCTCGGGCCCGACCACGCCGATGACAGAGCCCGGCGCCTGGCACTCGGGCACGCGCACCTGCCACGCCGCGGAGAAGGAGCTGAAGAGGCCGGCGAGAGCGTCCGGCACTGCGAGCTCCGCGCGCAGCTGTAGCCTCCCTCGGACACGGTCGACCAGGGCCGACTTGATGTCGGCCACCTTGAGCTGCAGCAGCGCAGGCCCCGTGCCGCCGGGAAGCGGTCTGGCGGTGACCAGCAATATCAACTGCTCGCTGACGACAACCTCGCTATCGCCGGCGTCCCACAGGCCGACTTGGACATTGGCGGCCGTCTGCAGCGGCTCCACCATCTTCTCGGTAAAGGAGACAGCGGCCGGAGCCGGTGCTCGAGAAGGGTTGGCCGACGGCGCGGTGGCGCCTGCAAGAACGGGCGGCGGCTGGGCTTGAGTCGCGAGGGAGGGAGGGGGGGGGGGGGGGCACAGGGGAGGGAGCGGCGGCGCCGAACGGATCTCGGCCAACCCCTCCGTAGCCGCCAGCAGGCCCGCCGAACGGGTTGTCTGCGGCAGCCGGCTTTGCGGCGAACAAGCTCGGTGTGGCCACCCGGGCAGCGGCTGCCTTGGCCCTCTCAGCGGCCGCCGTAGCAAGCCTCGCCTCCTCGAGTGCCGCCTCGCTCCCACCAGCCACAGCACCAAACGCGCCCGCCGATGCGGCGGCGACGCCCTTGTTCCCCTTGGCGTAATCCTCGCAGCGCAGCTCCGATGCGGGCCCGCCGAGCGGCGTGGCCGCCTGCATCTGCCGGACTGCCTCGGCGCCAGCGGCGGTCAAGGGGTGGCTGCCGCTGCCACCGCTGCCACCGCTGCCGCCGCTGCCGCCGCTGCCGCCGTCGCACTGCAGCTGCGCTCCCGGGACGCCGGGCGGGTCGTCAGAGTAGTACCCCACCCCTTGCTCGCCCGTCCTGAAGACGTAGCCAGGCCGTGCGCCCGCAAACGCCGCCGCCGCCTCGAATCGCGGTGTTAAAGGGCTGGACCCGCTGCCGGTCGAGCCGAAGCCTGGGAACGGCATCGGAGAGGCGCCTGCTTGCCGGCTGCCTCTGCCGCCGGCAGACGTGAAGGGGGAGCCTCTGCCCTTGCGCCCCTGCGTCGGAGTGGCGGAGGCGCCGATGCTGAAGGCCCCTTCGAAAGTCAGGGCCGCTGCCGGGGCAGCCTTGAACGTAAACAGCACTCGAGTGTCGCAAACGTCGAGACCGATGCTCGTGAGCGTCGAGCTCCCCCCAAAGTCAAGCTGCGCATTGTCACGCGGCGTCATCGGCACATTGGCTTGGAGGCTGACGCCGTTGACGCGCGTGCCGTTGGTCGAATACAAGTCAACCAGCTGCACAACGCCGGAGGGGTCGACTCGGATCTCCGCATGCCGCGAGGAGCAAGAGGAATTCTCGACCACAATGTCGCAGCTCGACGAGCGGCCAACCGTGTGCACGCCGGGCTTGAGCTCGTGGGCCGTGAACAGCGGTGGCGGAAGCAGCGAGCCGTCGCGCCGGATCTCGAGCACGGAAAAGACAGACGTCGAGCTGTAAGGTGACGCGGGAAAGCGCAGCTCACCGCGATTGACGTGGTACGTTTTGCCTCCGCCATACTCCACCTTCGCCGTGTTTGCGAAGAGGGGAGCATCGGCTGCAACGTGCTCGAGGATGGTCGCGTCGCCGTACCGCGGGATGTGCACCCGCGATCCGACCGGGAACCTCCGCGTCGGCCCGTCCGCTCGCCACCTGCGATAAACGGGTCTGGCGGGAGCGGGCGACGCCATTGTCTCGGCGGATTTCGATGGCTCGGCCTTGAGGCTGGCCATCGGATTGAGGCACAGCAGGAGCGCGCAGCCGCCAGGGCAGGCGAGAAGTGCGGACTCGACGTCGAGCGGTGTGGCGAAGGCGAGGTGCAGCGCCGACTCGGCCGAGAAGACGTTCTTGTCCTCGCAGGCGGCTGGGGCGAGCGTGGGGGTCGGCTGGCAGAGGGACGGCTGGTGCACGCGCGGCTGCAGGCCGGAGGTGCGGACGTGGATGATCTCCTGCGTCACCAGGGCGTCCCGGAGGTCGGCGGCCGCAAAGGAAAAGGTCGTCTCTCGGGCCAGCTTGTCGCGAGCAAGGCACGCCGGCACGTACTGCCCAGACGTGGTGGGCTCGGCGGACTGCACAGGCTGGCCGCCACCTCGGAAGCAGATGCGATCTCGCGCGGGAGAGAGCCACAGCAGGCACGGCCCGATCTCCCATGTGCCGATGCGCGCCGTCGTGAGCCAAAAGGCGGGCGGCGCCGGCAGCTTCGACGAGAGGTAGCCGAGGGGGCGGGAGCGCGCCACCCCGACTCGATCCTGCAGCGCCTCCTTCTGCCTCGACCACATCAGAGCCTCGGCTCCGCCATCCCCGCTGAAGGCGATCGCGCCACCCGCGCCGCCCAGCCTCGGCTCGCGCCTCTTGACGAGCACCGGCGACTGCGTGCCCATGTCGACGGTCCAGTCGAAGCCGGCGGGCCAG